TTTTGTTTGCTTTCTTCAATTCATCTCTAGCGACTTCCAATGGCTTTTTCCAGGCTGTCTCACATATACCAACTGCAATGCAGTGTGTTCTTGCCTTCACCACCCTACTGGCCAAACATGCCATCCTTCTAAAAGGGAAACATGCCTCCCCTCCACACCATAGGTGGATCCAAGGAATTTTACTATGTATAAAGCTTGAAAAGTTACAGTTCTCCTAGAAAGGATGCTTGAAATCCTTCCACAAGGTCTGGATCCCCATTCTAGATATTATTAACCATCTTACTGTCTCACCTGTACGGGACAGCAATGCTTAATGGAAGTCTTTTAGACAGAAACTTTTTTTTTTCCATTTCATTTATTTAGCATTAGTTTGTTTATTTATTTACTCATTTCTTAGTTATTTATCCACATGTTAGTTTGCTAGACAAACTGGGAAAGGGCAGAGAAATTGCGATAGATAGAAGGGGGTATACATACAAATGCAGAAACATACCTGTCTGTGTCTGAATTGCCAAATGTAAATGTCCTATCCTTACGAAATGCAAGAAAATATTTATTTCAAAAATTAAACTGTTATTTTTTTTTTTAAGTAAAAATATTTAACATTGTAAAATAATAAAATAAAATTTATTTTAACATTTTATAATTTCAAAGACAGAAAATTTTAACATCAATCAGCTGCTTTCAATCAGTTTGAAATTACATTTATTTTAAAAAGATATCACGATATTCACGATATCTCAAAAAAAAAAAACATTGTGACATATCACAATATAAATATTATATTGTTGTATTGCTCAGCCCTTATTATTGTCACATAGTTCTGGTCCGTTATAATGGTTAAGTAAGCCTGAAAGAACAGTGACAGTGACATGTATGGACAGTATATGGACCCTTCTGTGTACTGTTTTAAGTGATATATGCATCTATGTAAAAGCACTGGTCGAGTAAACATTTAAATAGAGGTTTTCTGTGCATGTACTGTATGTGAGTGCGTGACTCATGGCCAGAACACCTCTCTTGAAGCAAAAAAGTGCATTTCCCTCTCAATGTGCGTCATCAGCCTTTCCTCCACGCCTAACACTGTGGTATGCAATAACACAGCAACCACTTCAGCACTGCCTGCCAAATGTGCTCTTTATTCTCTAGCACTTATTTCCATGTAGTCATCCCCTGGTGAAAGTGAACCCACAGCAATCTGCATGATTGCAGAAAACCACACAATGAGATCTGGGACTCGATTTGTGCTCTAGGCTCTTGATCAACAACAACAAAAAAATCATTCTACCACAAGTATATTTATGCCATAGGATAAAGCAGTTACTGGAGATGGATGAATGAATAAAAGCTTCAGAAAAAAATATTACAGAAGCTAGAAATGGGGGTGATACCGGTATGATGATACACTGATAGATTGGAGTATCTCTGGTGTACATGAGCATTTGAGCAAAATATTTAGATGATTAAACCTTTAAATGTGAGAACCTGCTTCATCTTGATTGAGACAACACCAGATGTCTCAACCACCCACCAATTTCCAGGCAGTTAAATGAGTATCTGTGTAAACATGTTTCAATGACGACTTTTCCACAGATTTCAAAACAAAACAATGTCTTTGAACTCATTCTTTAATCTCATTCAGACAAACAATAGGCCACAGATGAAATTCTAGCATCAGGAAAAAACAAAGAATCAACATAACTTGGGTATTTAAAATATAAAATCTAAAAAAAACACTATATAAACATCAGTCTTTTAAACAACAGCACATGTTGAGTCTACAGAACATGACTACATTAGGTAGCTACAATTAAAGTTACAATTTCCCTGCAATAATTTAAGGAAATTAAACACATTAGGTTTTACATGGCTTTACTGGTCAGTAATAAATCTGGTATCCTAGCATATTTACCTTTAAACCAACATTTGCTGAGTATTAGCAGGCAAGGGAGCTGATGCTGATTTAGTTTCAAAAACACAGGCACACAGGGTAAAGCCAGATTAAGGTATTTGGAGCACCTCATCTAGGACTAGGTCAGTTTTAATAATTAGCTCACAAACACATATATCACATTACAAGCATACGCACACTCAGGAGCCATTAATTTAGTTAGCAGACATCATTCTGCACTGCCACAGATGTCACTATTTTTACTTCTTTCCTGTTTATGTACTCATGAAAAATGGAAGATCATGTATTGTGGGCACTGCTACATTTACAAGACAACAGTTCGCAAGTGATAAATGCCATGTTGCATAAGCAGTACAGTGATCCCAGGATTTTGAAAGTGTGTAGGCACCACTAAGTGTTCATTTAATAATATCCAAAGTAGGCTTGTGTAGTGCATCATTGGATATTGTGGCAGTAATATCAAGTGGGGAGGATATTACACTGCCACCATATCCAACGATGCGCTAATATCATACCTTTAGTGAAGTCCTACTTCTTGTTTGCCAAATATGAAAACAAACACTATTATTAGCTAATACAGTCACAAGTATTAGAGCACTGATAGGAGACTGGATAGGCAAGGGGAGTAGTCAGGTATGATGTAGTCTTGAAAGCCAGACTGCTGGTATTCGCTAGCGCGTCTAGTCCCTTTTTCAGTAAACTTTAGGTCTGATACTTCTTGTCAGTATCCAAGAACCACAAATGTTCTCAGAAAGAGAACATCTGATCAAAGGTTGCAGACGTCCACAGCGAACAAGCGAGGATATCCCACTTACACAATACTGACTGTTTCAAACCAAACTCTAAAAATGGGATGACAAACATTTATTTCAATCCAGTGACTGTATATTATTCAGAAATGCTCAATTTGTGAGTGTTCGAAAGCTTATTTTTCCATCAGAAATGACACATATAAGTGAGGAGAGCCAATCATATTGGAACTTTCAAGATCCTAGAAACTGCAAAGTTCCTAGATTGGAACTTTGTAGCCAAAAAAGTGTATAAAAGATATCAGACACTCAAGGGCCCAAGTGTAGAGCATCTGAAGATGAGACTAGGCATGATGAAATTGCAAGACTACAAAATTATCTAAAGTGAGAAACCAAAAAATACTTTACCAATACAAATTTTTGTCACGCCAACAAATTAACACTAATTTACTAGTTTAACATATATAGCTATCTAATAAACCAACCATAGGTGTCATGCTTCATTACAAGTTAACCTTTGCTAGCTACCTTGCTAAAAAGCTGGTTGATGCACAGACTAGTGAGGACAAATCAGCATCAAGTGTCTTAATAAGGTGTCTGAAGCTGATCAGCTTCAATGCACCTTAAAACTGTACTGGGGGATAAACTCTGTTCTTCCAAAAGATATTCCCTCAGTTGTAGCTTTGATGATGGTGCTGGAGAGAGCTGCAAGTTCAAAACGTTCCATAGATGTGAGAAGTGTGAAGACAGAAGACAGCATATGATTTAAAATATTTTCATACTCATCAAACCATTCAATGACCTCCTGTGCCCTGTGGATGTGGGCAGGTCATCCTGGAAAAGACAAGTCACATCATGATAGAAAAGTTTCATCATGGGATTAAGGTGATCAGCCAGAATAAGTTTGCATTGATTTGCAGTGACTCTTCCCTCTAAGGCTGCGGTTGTCCAATGACGAAAGTGGGAAACAGAGACACCCAGACTTTCATTCTTTCATTTTTATTTTCCTCAAGCTAAATAATTTGTTTCTGATGTTAAATGAAAAAAATAATCTCCTGTTTTAATAAGTGGATTGGCTACACTATATTGCCCCTAGGTGTAAGTGTGTGAATTTGCATGTAAGTGGTGTCTGGCAATAGACTGGTGTCTCTTCCAGGGTGTATTTCTGCCTCACATCCAGTGTTCCCTGGATGGGGTCCAGATCCACTGTAACTCTGACCAGAATAAAGTGGATACTGAATGAATGAATGAATGAATGAATGAATGAATGAATGAATTCAGTGATTATTCATATATTCAAATGAATCTGAAATGAATCTTACATCTAAAGCCGACTGACAGATCAGACCCTTAATACTAAAATATTAATACCAAATCCTGGCGCTGGTTTTCTGCAAAAATACTAAGTCACATTTAAGGATGTTATATGAAACACACCAGGTTTATTTATTAAATAGTTTTCCATGCATTAAGTCATGAACTCTCCATAGGTGCCAAGGTCTTAAACAAGTTACTTTCCCATTAACTTCATAATGAAATGATAAGCGCTGTGTCGTAAGAGGGCAAAAGAGAAAAAAAGACCAGGTAAAGGGTGCTTTTACAGTGAAGTAGGTTTACTGTGTCCAGATAGGGCAGCTATGTCTTGATGTGTGTCCCAGCGGTGAAATCTCTGATCTTTCAGCCCATCACACAGTGAGCCCACAGGGGTGGTAGTGTCACGGAAAGCTCGTCTTGGCACGAAGATGTTTTACTCACCGAACACAAGCTTAAGTTAAGAACACAAGCTCTTAAGTCTTTTCTAGTGTTTCCCACTTAGCTTTTTGTTGCTCTGGAAGATTATGCTATGCTTAGTGGACTTTAAGGAGCCAAACACTGTCCACTTTATTAGGAACACCTGTATACCTGCTCATCCATGCCATTATCTAATCAGTCAATCATGTGGCAGCATTGCAGTGCATGAAATCATGCAGATACAGGTCAAGAGCTTCAGTTCATGTTCACAATGAAGAAAAAGTGTGATCTCTGGGATTTTGATCGTTGCATGGATGTTAGTAAGAACACAAGCTCTTAAGTCTTTTCTAGTGTTTCCCACTTAGCTTTTGTTGCTCTGGAAGATTATTCAGTGGACTTTAAGGGGTAAAACACATCATGTGACAAAAAAAACGTTAAAAGGATAAAGTCAGTCATCCATCCATCCATCCATTTTCTGTACTACAGTGGGTTAGGGGCACCCTGGGTGGGATACTAACCCACAATCACAACGCATGTTTTTTGGACTGGGGAGAGAAACCGAGCACTTGGAGGAATCACAGGGAGAGTGTACAGGTTCAGCCCACACAGAGCGTGGGTGAGATTCGAACCCCTGACCCTGGAGGCGCGAAGCGAGCGCGCTAACCACTAAGCCACCGCGCCCACACGACTCGATGTGGATGCGTATACGTATATGTCCACAGAGGACAACATTAGCTCGTGACCGGGGCTGACCCACTCCGTGACACAGTTATGCAACGCGCGTGTTTAAACAATGTGGGTTAAAGACGTGCTCCTAAGAGTACACACATTTCTCATTGCTATCTCAGTGTATAATGTAATGCGAGCAATAACTGGAAAGCACAAGATTTTATTTATTTATTTATTTGTAAGGAGAAACATCATAAGAGAATTGTGCCCTTACAAGGAAATTTTCCAGTCTACACATCTGACACATTGCGGTCAATGAAATGTCAGTGTTATACAAGCACTCAGGAGAAAACACTCCATACACTCCAGAAAGCGACATGAAAACACAGCCTACCTGTCAGTCCAACTTTTTCTCCCCCCAAGGCGAACTTCTTTTCAGTAAGGTTCCTGGGCTTCTCGGTTCTGCCTCCAGTACCGCCTGACACACTGCACTTACTTTGGTTCAGTGTTTCCTCACACTGTTGCCCTGAATCTCCAGCGCGAGCGATGACCTCAATTCAAACTCCACCAGCCAAGTCTCTCTTCGACCAATCAGACTGGCTCAGAAAATTGCGTTTCCAATGAAAGTAGGCGGGCACAAAGATGTTTCTGTGACTATTGGCTGAAAGCGCCGTCAGTCTCTTTATATAAGGCAGGCCTATGCCTCACGTGGAAACCCATGGCCAGTGACGGAGTGCTGCTCGCGTGGGCGAATCAGTAATGAGGAGCTGAGAGAGTGAATGGAGCGGCGGCGGGGGAAGAGAGCGGTTGGTCCAGAGAAGCCCAACACAACGTGTGTTATACAAACAGTTATACAATGTGTGTAAGCGTGTGTAAAGTCAATGTGGTCGACTTACGCTAAAACCTCATGGCGAACAGTCGTATGTTCATTGCGAAATAGTTTTCTCTTTTCAGGCAAGGACATCCTTGACTTAGGTAATGAATATTACGCCATTGCAGGGGCCATTTAGCACTAGGCAAAGGTAGGCAACCACTTTGGGCCCCTAGAAGCCAAGGGCCCCCAAAAAATGCAAATTATATATACACACACACACACAGACACACACAAACACATACACACACACATATATATATGTGTGTGTGTGTGTGTGTGTGTGTTATATATATATATATATATATATATATATATATATATACTGTATATATACACACACACACACATTCTAAATTATGTACGTGTATTGCCTAGGGCCCCCAAATCACTAAATCCACCCCTGTGCCGTTGTCGATAACATCAACATATTGTTATAAGAATTTATGTACTATTTATTATAAGATATTATTTGCTATCGCAATCTGACCCAAATATACAGATACCCTAGAAGTTTTTCTTCTTCAGTTATTACATTAGGTTTGATATTCTAACAGAGGTTTTCAAAGTGGGGTCTGCCATTTTTATATTATTTTTATCTATTCATCTAATGTGTGATCACTATTAATTAATATTTATATAGCTGTTAACAGCCTCCTCCACTCTTCTGGCAAGGCTTTACACTAGATTTTGGACCATGTTTGTAGGAATTTGTCAGCCACAGGAGCACAAGAGGTTGGGCACTGATGTCGGGCAAGGAGGTTTGGCGCGAACTTGGTGTCCATCCAACTTGAAATTCATCCCAAAGTTGTTCGGTGGGGTTGAGGTCAGGGCTCTGTGCAGGCACTCGAGTTCTTCCACACCAGCCTTGGTAACCCGTATCTTTATGGACCACACTTTGTGCACATTGTCATGCTGAAATATGTTTGGGCAACAGTTTGGGGAAGACTCTTATATGGGTGTTACGGTCAGGTGTCCACATACACTTACTGTCCATTTTAATAGGAACACCTGTACATCTAGACATTCATGCAGTTATCTAACCATTTTGTCCATGCCACAAAGTCACAGAGAACGTACCTTTTCTTCATTCTGATGTTTGATCATTAACTGAAGCTTGTGACCAGTATCTGCAAGATTTTTACATTGCGCTGCTGCCACATGATTAGCTGATTAGATAACTGCATTAATGTCCAGGAATTTTACCTAATAAAGTGGATGGTGAGTGTACTTTTGGCCATATGGTGTAACTGTTAATATGATACAAATCTTTCAAAATACACATTTAAACATGGTGTAGCTAGTTCTGGTAGTGAAAAAGTTGATGAGTAAAAACGTGCGAATGGGACTAGTAAATAATTATACCACAGTTAGTTCCAGTCCACTAATTTGATTGGTCGAGCGGTGTACCTATATTTCCTATAACCGCACTGGGATGTTTCACTGTGTATCACTCTGCTCGTCTGTGTTTGCCACATAAAATTCCACTTCATAAGAAACCGTTACTACAGTAGTGTTAGTGACATCATCATGGCATATGATACTTTTCAGGAATATAACTTTTGATGTAAAATATGAAAGTTCATCAGATGAATATGAAAAGGAAGGGGGATGCCAATTTTACTGGAAGCACCACTAACAGATATGTACAAATGATTAATGGGGATTACATACGGCCAAATCACAGCCATGCTGATATTCAGTATAACTGCACTCTTGCTCGTGTGATATTGCTTAATTATAGTACCTACACCCACTATCCACTTTATTAGGAACACCTGAACACCTGGGAAAAAATATGCTCTCTGTGACTTTGATCATGGCATGGTTGTTGGTTCTAGGTGGGCTGGTTTGAGAATTTCAGAAACTGCTGATCTCCTGGGAATTTCACACATAGCAGACTCTAGATTTTACCCAGAATGGTGCGAAAAACAAAAAACATTGAGTGAGCGACAGTTCTATGGTTGGAAACACCTTGTTGATAAGAGAAGTCAGAGGAAGGATATAATAACTCAAATAATTATGTTTACAGCCATAGTGAGTAGAAAATTATCTCAGCCTGCACAAAACATTGAACCTTAAATTACAGTATTTTGCAGTATTTATTACCCAAATGCATTATGGGAAGAAAAAAACCATCTGTCCAAAATTGCACATATGAGATGGATCCTTGTTGCTTCATCCATCACAGTTTTATTAAATATTTGGTGAATAGCAGTTTTAATTAGTCAGTTATTGAAAAGCTTACCAGTGATGTTTCCAGCTGTTTTGCAGTATATTGCATTATACTGAAATATATACAAATGTATAAAACATTCAGCAGCTACATATCTAGATTATTTTTTCAGACAATGCCAACTTTTATATCTACATCTAATTCGATATGTGGGTGCTAGTTGGATATTTTTTGGAATATAATTACGTAATGTCTGAAATCTGGCATAGCAATTCAAACAGGACTTAAGGAAAACTTTA